TATTTATATATATATTAGATATATGTATATATGAAAAATATATCAAAAATGCATGTGGGTACTCAAATGAAAGCTTTTGATGAGTGTAACATCAGGATGAGCTGATATTTTTAAAATACATATTATATATATATATGAATATATGAAAAATATATCAAAAATGCATGCGGGTACTCAATTCAAAGCTCTTGATTAGTGTAACATCGGGATAAGCTTATATCTTTAAAAACTTCAATATTAAAGAAAGTACAGTGGAATTTAACAAAAATAATTATTTAATAAAGCACAATTTTTAGCAAATAAAAATTAATTTATTCGATAAAATTAATGCTTTTTATTTAATGTAAAGCATATTGCACCACAATTTTATAGCAATTACATATTTTTATTACAATTCTCCTCACCTCAGTTTCTCAATAAACTGAAAAAATTCGTAGCTAAATTTAACCCATAACATTTTTTATGACACTTGATGTCATTCTCCTACATCTATTAAATTTTAAACGGCCAATAAATTAATACAATAAAAATAATTTATTGGACACCTTGATATTTTTTTTCCCTCTAAAATTTTTTGCTTTTAATTTATCTCCAATTTAATAATTGGAATTTAATAATTAATAATTTTTTTCTACGACCATTAAGCCGCGACCTAAAAAAACAAAAGCTTTGATTTGAATATTTAAATTAATTTCATTCAAATGAAATGAAATATTCTGGTACTATACGCGGTGATGGGTGATGTGAGCGTAATATAAAGGCACAAGAGATGATAATCGCAATAACAATACAATGGGGTATGAAATTAATTCTTATTTATATTGGGCCTCGCACTACACGGAGGTCTAGAAATAATACACGATATAATCAACAAAATTATTATCTCACTCGGGTTTAATCGGACTTGGGCTCGAACTCACGTCCCCTCTTAGTTTACACGTGCGTTAAACATGTCTGTGTCTCGTCTCAGTTATCGCATTCCTAACAATGAGTCACCTGCCCCTCATCTACCACCACATAGACATTTAGATCCTATATTATTTCATATTTCTTATTTCTCATCACAACAATGGTTACCATTACTTTATATTACGGTTTTCGTCTATCAAATGTGAATTAAACAGGAAACGCCGGCACAAAAATCCCGGAAATCTTAACGGTGATAAAAAAATGCCTACTATAAAAATAAATAAAAAACGGGTGAAGTTTAAAGGCGAGATTCCGTTTACGATATGTATATAATACATCCACATGTTGGATATAGGAAGGCTGGATTTTTACACAATGGAAAATAGAACAACCCTTCACTATCGATACATCGATCTCCTGAAAATAGATGAAATAAAATAATATTTTGTTTAGTCTCTAAAATTGTTTTTTTTTGTGTTACGATTTACGAGTCCTTTTTCTCTGTGTAAAGTACAAATAGACGGATTTTAGGGGGCGTATGTATTACTTGTTTTGTATATTGTATATTTTATATGTATCAGACCTTTTCCCCTCTAGGGTGTTGATGTGAGTGGCTATTAATATAAATGGGTAAAATTAGAGTTCAATGGAGCTGAAGTAGAGAAAGACGAGACACGAGGGCACGAGACATCAGCACTTTGTACAAGATATCTTAATTTAACAGCAATCATTCAATAATTCTTGAATTTTAATTCACTTTTAGTATTTATTTTGATACTTTTTTTTATTTAATACTTTCAAGCTTTAATTTTTGATTCATAGTTCTTAATTTTAATATTTTTATGCAGCATAAATAATAAAAAGTTGGAAATTGTAGAAATAATCATAATAATTAAACATAACTTAAAAAATAATGACCTTAAAAATTTCAAAAATATAAAGTCAACTTTTTAATAAAATTTCAATTTATTTTATACTTTATATCTACATATTTATAAAGACAAAAATTTTTTTAAATAGTACATTTCGCTTTATATTAATTGTAATATTGTTTTAATTATTAATTTTGTTTTTTCATTCATCAGAAAATCTAAAAATACAATAATTTTTTGACAAAACACAAATTTTGATTATTACTCATTATCTTTAAATTATTGTCAAACAATTAAAAAAACAAAATTTCTTCAATCACTATAGTTTTTTTTTTTTTTATTTATTTTACTTCTGGTAAACATTCTATAGAAAGTTAAATATTAAATACTATTTCATAGTTTTTATCAATTTTGTTTCGTCGAAATCAGCGCAGGTCAGTAATCACCACAATTTGCTTTGGTTATTTTTATTATTATCATCATCATTCTTTATCCTTTATTTTTATTCACACTAATTGTTAACATTAATATTCACAATTATTTATTATTTGTTTCTTATCTTTTAAGAAACAGTATTACTGTACACAGAAAAAAAAAATTAACTTGAATCAAGTAAATAATTTTGAAGAATTTCATTTTCTTGATTTGAGTAGAAAAATTCTTAAACTAAGAAATTTTTCTTGATTTAAGTAAATTTTACTTAATTCAAGTATTTTTCGTCTTGATTCAAGACAGTGAAATTCTTCAAAATTATTTTCTTGGTTCAAGAATTTTTCTCTTAATTCAAATTAATTTTTTTTTTCAGTATATAAAATCAAGATCGCGAGTCATGACCGTCTTAGTGTCAAAAAAAATTTTAATTCTGCTCCATAATTTATTTCTATTTTTCTTAAAAAAAATACAATTTTTTTTTTTTTGAAATTATTTTAAAACAAATCAAAATTAATCGTAAATTCCAAAAATGTTATGACAAAAATAACAAACTGTTTGAATAGACAAGAATTTCAGTAACTATATCCATATATTAATCTCATAGAATTTATGTCGTCTTCATTACATCCTGTTTCGTGGTCTGAAGTAACTTCCGAGGCGTTTTTATGTCTGAGCAGATGACTACCAAAAGCTTTTTACATCTTTCATCGGAGTGTCAGTAAGATACCACACACATACTATTAAAAGCATAAATCCAAAATTTTCTCAAAATACCTTTGCATACATTTCCAAGTATGAGTTATTACTCTTTCTCAGCATTGAGTCGGTGCTTACAGAATAAGAGCACCCACCTTGCTACCAAGTAGTAGTCTTTTCAATCATCTCGTGAATTTTTCCAATTCGTCGCAGCCGCATTAAAGGAAGCTTATAGAGCCGCTAGACACCGGATATATTTAAAAATATGCTGAGCACATTTGTTAGTGAAAAATGTAGCTCAAAGAGAGCTGGAGTAGAGTAAAAATAAAGGAAGATAGAAGAAATAAAAATTGAAAAAAGTATTGAAGAAGAAAATAAAATTGGTGGAACGTAGACATGAGAGGACGAAAACAACCAAGAGTATTCGGGTCGTTGAGTCTCGAATTGACTTCCCAATCAATATGAGCAGAGAGTTAGTCTCCATACAGACATGAGCATTCAGCACAGCTGGAGAAATCATTCAACCCGATGAATTGGGATGGATACTAACTCGTACATTCACTCTATGCTGTGTCCAGCCCGTATGATAGGATGATTGGTCGCGTTAATAAAATCTGATGGGCCTCCATCTCTTTCTCTTATCCATTACTCCTGGGTGACGATCATCTCGGGCGTTAACTTGTCCACTTCCGTTCGTTATATTCTCTATGATGCTTCATTTTTTTTTTATTATTTATTTCAATTTTTTGTTGGGGCAATTGACAATTTTTTGAAAATTGCGAGTGTTAGTTTAGTCAGTCGAATTTTTAAATATTAAATTTTCATCAAGGACTTGACCTAAATTCTAGGAAGTCATTCAGATTATTTATCAAAAAATTGATGGGTAATATTTTAAAGAATTTAATCTTGGAAATTCGGACAATAAATAAAATTTTTAATTATAAGAATTGCGCAACGTTTCGCTGATTTATTTCAGCTTCATCAAGCGAAAAATCAATAGTCAAAAAAATCTTATAATTTAACATCTTCATTTATTGTCCAAACTCCCAAGATTGTTATTTTAAATATCGATGGTCTAATTAGCAATTTGTCTAGCTCTTTATTTTTTAGAGGGTGATTTTTTAGTATTTTGATGTTGCAATAGTCCAATTATAAATTATTTGAATGATTCAAACGAAAATATTATACCTCTATTAGATATTAAATGGTTTTTTAAAGTAATAATAAATTTTGAACTAATTGTTTTTTTCATACAAATGAAAGATTCTCTAAAATAGAGTTAAATTTGCTAATTAGAACGTCGATATTGTAAATATCGACGAGAACTTAAATATTAATTAATAAGTAAATTAGAAATATTCGCGCCATTAATTTAACAAACTGTTTTTAAATTAATTCAAAATTTATGTTAGAAATTACTCAAAAATTAATTTGCCAAAAATTTAGGTAACATGTTTTTGTCTTTTGATTTTTAGATATCAAAAATTGAAGTCAAAATTACAACTTATATTTTAAATAGAAAAAGTTATTAATTTGATTAAACTATTTTCTAAAAAATTTGGGATATTAAAAAAAAACTTTTATTATTAACATTATCACTTTAATTATAAATTCACGAAGCAAATATACATAAATAAAAATATATACAATATACATACACTGTAATTCGTTATAAAAAAGTTATATCATATGATATTTATAATTATTATTTCGTTCGTTAGAAAATCAGTTCGAAAGCCGTTCTACTGCATCGATATAGAATACAACTTTGCTAATAAAAAAAAAAAAGAAAACAATCTTCCAAATATTCAATTATACACAATAAAAAAGAATCAATAACCTCTAGAAATAAATCACTCAACCGATAAATAAATCGAGTTCACAAATCACTTGAAATTAATACCAATCATACACTAGTCCCTTAATCAATAAATCAATCAATCCAACAGATTAATTTTATTTATTCCAAGGAAAAACCGCACAACTTTCCTCGGCGAAACTTTTAATTACAATAAACGGTAAAGTAATCAAGATAAAAAAGCGATTTTATCACAGACAATAAAGCTTGGCACACATGTCGGTAGTTTAAACTCACGTCCTGGCCAAATTAATAGTAACATTCTCTTGGTCTGGTTTTATCGGAAGCGGTCGATTTGCCATTTTACTAACAGGCGTTGAGGAGCCCTGTGGTTCCGGCAGCTCTGAATAAAGATGCGCGGTAACGTCATTCGGATCAGCATACTCCGCAAACAGACTTACGCCTTTACAATTATTATTACTCGTTTTATTACCCTTCAAACTATCGCCAAGCGCTTTGAAGAAGAACAACGACTTAGACTGGTGTCTTTTGTCGTTAATAGCTTCCTGATAAGGATGCTCAACATCCAGATCTAAATACTGTCTTTCATAATTATCATTACTCCTACAACTATCATTATTACTACTCTTACAACTATTATTATTATTAATAAGATGATCATTAACAACATCTGGTGGAAGTGGCAATGGTGCTCTCGCGGCAGCCAAAGTAGCCGCTAAAATCGGCTGTGAAAGTCTGCTAGTGCTTGGCACAGTTTCATCTCCGGGTAATTCTGCGTAAAGATGATTTTGATCACTAGTTCTCAGGTCTCTTGGCTCAGTGTACTCAGCAATAGCCGGTCTATTGACAATAGAATGCTCACTTGGCAACAATTTCTCCAAAGACGGCACTTTTGTGCCCATATCCGTAGTAGGCTTTTGGTTCCGCGGTCTGCGAATTCGCGGAGCAATTATATCGTAAGTATTCTCCTCATCGTTCAGCCCACAAGATGCAGGTCTCTCGTTATTATTATTGCAACTTTCCTCCACCTTTATAAGATCATAAAGATGCTCAATCATATCACGCGCCTGGCTGTAATTATCCGGGTCGTTAAGTCGGTCACGTAGTTCCCTTAAATATTCCTCGGTCAGTTCTTCTGGCAGCGTTTGAGAAGCTTTGTTTTCCGTATAGGTGAAGCCTTCTTCGGTCAGAACATCTGCATTTTCTTGAAGGGTGTCATTTTGTTCATTTTCGTTCAAAATCCGCATTTCTGGCCTCAACCCAGCGTACTCATTAATACTGAGCCGCGAAATTGAACGGGCAGATGTGGCTGCGGTCATTCCGCTGTTAGGCGACAGCCACGAATTGGTCAGGTTCATAAGATGGCCGGAGGTCAGCTTTGGGCAGACGCCGCGGCGGCGCATGTAGAGAATTCCCGATGTTAGGATAATTGCGATTATCACAAAAACAGCAGCTACGCAGACGATTACAATCAGCCGTTTTTCACGTTCCAATTGTTCTGAGTCGCTCATTTCGACGTCGAAGAAGCTGTTCTGTCGAGGATAAACGTGTGGACCCACACTGGGTGGACTAACACTGGATGTTGGCTTTTCTGAGGGCTCGCGGCAAACTACATTGTCCTCCGGGCTGCAGATCGTAGACGTGAAATTCCCCATTTCTAAATAACCCTGAGGGATTTTCAAACAATTTCCTAACCAGTCTCCGGCGATGCAGTAACTAGACTTCATTATCCACTCCACGGAAGAGTTCCTCCCGGTTATTTCACGGATGTAGTTCTCAATGAAGCAATTGCACATTTTTTCGAAGTAGTTGTTGCCGACAGTCGCATTGTTTATGTTGGACTTTTCGCTGATTGACGCGAATCGCAGCGAATTTTTCTCAGCTTTGTTAATTCTGTTACCGCGGAACGAGAATTCAAGCTGCTGTTCTGGGGTTTTTTCAGCGATTTCATCCGCGACGATTCCATCCTCGGCTATGTCGATAAAGTGGTTGTGGTCCACGATGATCTTGCTCCATTGTTTCAGGATTATTGACTTCTTTTCAAGCATGTGGAATTCGTTGTTGTTGAAGGCTATTGCTGCTGCTGAAATATCTATTGCTCCGCTTTCGATTGAATCTACCCTGTAATATTATTTTCAATTAATCATCAAAGTTTTTCATAGGTTTGAATATAAGTAATGATAATTGATAATGCTTACCTCGAATATTGAATTGTAAAGTTGTTAAATGCAGCTCGGAAGGATCCATTTTTGATATTTCGTAGTGACACGTCGATTAACTCGAAATTATGAATTAGAGTTTTGTCGTTGAACGCTCCATACTCGATGTCGTTTATTGACGCATTGCTTATTCTAACTCCGAGAAATAGCAATGCGCAGAAAGCATCCTTGCGAATAACTTTTGTCCAAACGTCGTCCATACGAATCTCAGCAGCTGCTGACGGAAATACTGAACTTGGCAACTCCGTTATTTTAACACTTTGGAACATTATCTGTGAATAATAATTTTGTATTATTTCACTGTGGAAAAAAATTTCTTTTTCAATAATTAAAAAATATCTTGAGAAAATGGCTACTAGTTAAATATTTAATGATTGCACTGTACTTTCTTAAATATTGAAATTTTTAAAGATATAAGCTCATCCCGATGTTACACTCATCAAGAGCTTTCATTTGAGTACCCACATGCATTTTTGATATATTTTTCATATATACATCTATATAATATATATAAATATATAAAATATATGAAAAATTGATGTGGGTATTCAAATGAAAGGTCTTGATGAGTATAACATCGGGATGAGCTTATATTTTTAAAAATGTCAATAGTTCACGAAATACAAGGTTATTTTCTAATTATGTATCTAGAGATAGAGAATTTTCGAATGCAGTCTAAATATTTATCATATAAATACACTTGCCACAAAATTTTGCTTATTCTCTTAATAATATAGATGAATTAAAATAAAAAATTACCTTAGTCGCTGGTCCATGACGACCGTGAGGAGGTGCATCAAATTTAAAAGCGTTGCTCGATAATTCAAGATCAGGAACTTGGCTAATCGAGAATCTGAGTAACCAAGAGAAGGCATTTGGCTTTATCTCAACGTGCTTGCATCTTGATATAGACACTGAAAGCGTTCCACGTGCGTTTTTGAACGCCTGAGACTCCAATACAACTCGATTGCATTCGGTAACTTCCAAGAGTGGATTTGGAGCGCTAATATTGTGAAATGCTTGAGTTTTAGCGACAACGCTGTGTATTCCCGTCACGTGAACTCGTTTTAGTTGAGGACCGCCTGTAAAAGCTCCTGAGTGGATCCTCAATTCGCGACAACGAGACACTGAGACATCTGATGCGTCAGCTGGAATTGACCCTTCATGTAATTCTACTTCCTGCAATAGAAAAGATTATCATCAATATTGCTAATAAAATCAAATGCTATATTTAGGTTCCTGTCGTCGATCTCAAAAGGTCAATAAACGGAAGTATTAACATAGATTATCAATAAATTTTTTTATTTAGTTATTATTTAATTAATTAAAAATGAATTGATATTTGATGTAATCAAAATTAAATATTAAAACATCAGTCTATCTTATTAACTTTTCAAAGGGAATAAAAGTGTCATCATCTGTTTCTTATTGACTTCCAGACGACAGTAATACCTTTGGAAATAACTTCCGGTAATGGCGACGACCCAACTATGTACTTTATATTTATACTTTTGCATAAGCGCCAACAAAGTTATATCTCCTATTTTCTTGCATGACTATAAATTTATATCATACTGAAAGTAAATACTATTCTCTAAACATTAACCATATATTTACGTTATCAATTATTATTATTATTTATTATTATAAACTTCATTGTTTAAATCATTTTATCACAAATTCAAGTTTTGCATTTGTTCTTTAAAGAAATAAAACACAATGAAAAAATATTACAAATAAACTGATATGAGTTTATTTATGTATTTTCAAGATATGATTTGACAGCCGGGTTTGATAATTGTGTGTTGCATTAAATTGTGGAATTACTAACAACATTGTGTGAGCCGATAAACTTGTATTCAACTTAATATACTTGCAATTAAGTTACAAAGACTTAATGCTATAAACTAAAACTCTATTGGATTTAAATTTAATAGAGATAGAAATAAGTTAAGGAAGTCTTGAGATTAAGAGATATCTAAAATAATTTGGATTCTTTTTTTTTTTATTCAATAAAGAATTTGCATTAAATATCTAACACTTTTTTTGTCTTAATTAAAGATAAGATTTTATAATCAAATTTGACCATATAATAAACCTTATAAAGGCTCAAATTTAAGTAAAAATCTATTTAATACCAAATTTAACTAAAAAAAATCATTTTATCGTATAAATGTGCCGAATAAAGATTTTTTTACTCTCTTAATTATATAAATTACCATATTGATTTTAAAAATTGTAAGTAGAGACCGAGGGACTCAGAATTGACCCGTGGGGCACTACTCCGTGGGACAAAGAGACCCCGTGGAGTGAAGAAGAACCCCTGAATTTATTTTTTGTTGACTTAACGATGGTGTGAAAGGAAGAAAACAGAATTAGACATACTTATTCTCTATGGTCTTATTTTTCTTTCTTACACTGATAGAAGAATTTGTTTATAGTTAAAAATATTTGTTAATATTTAACAAATCATTTATTAGAGCACTTTTTAGTATTAAACAAATATTTCTTAGCATTTAAAATGATTTTTTTGCTTTTAATAAATTTGATTATTAATTTATTAAATATTAATAAATATTTTTAAATACTAAGAAATATTTATTAAGGACTAAAAAAATGGTCTCTAATAAATGATTTGTTAAAAATGAACAAACATTTTTAACTATTTACTTCAATTATGAAGTTTTGAATAAAATTATTAATCATAAAAATATTTCTATCAATTATAAATTTATTTGAAATTTAAAATTATTATCCAGATATTGGATACGTCCTATGAAGCAATTTTGACTATTTTTATGAGGATGTCTTGATGTAAGGTATGTTTTTTTTTTTTTAAATAACTGGAGACTAAAAAAATTACAATAATTTGAATTAAAATAAAACTCAAATTCTTTTACCGATTGAATAAAGAACGAAAACATAAACAGTGTACAGTGTACATGAAGGCTTAATTAAAGAAAAAAGCTATATTAATGAAAGATCTAGCCTCGATTCGTGACTGGTAAGCTAAATAACAGTCAAAAGAAAACCCGAATGAAACGGCAGAGTGGAATGGAACTAAAGAGAAGCATAAGAATAAAAGAGTCAGTGTGAAAACGACCAATAGGATTGGGGATTCGTTTTAACGATTCAATGCACGTCACACCTTCCTGCTCAATTATTTATCCACTGTCGGGTCTTCGATCAGTTCCTGCATAATTCGAGGCCGGTCTCTTTTGCCATCCTACATCCTACTGTACTTATTTATTTACTTCTCATCTTCTTCACAACTCGAGTTCGCTAGATTTTAAATTAAAAAAAAAAGCATCTTTCTCAAATGAATTTTTTCAGAAGAAAATTCGTTCACAGTTTCCTTCATCCACAGTAAATTTTTAAGTTTATAAATTTATATAAAGGGCATGTGACACTTGATGCAACCATTGAAAAAGTTTCAGTTGTAAAACTAATTTTAGGATTCTTTTTTTTATTTGTCTAGTGAATAATGCGGGGGAGAAGCCCCTAAGAGGGCAGCAGAGAAACCCTCAAGACCTGTATGCTATATAATACATATACTGGTGTGCATCACCAGTCACAGTCAGGCTTGTAATATTATCCCACGGACGCTTTTTATATTTGTCGCTTTAAAGACCAGATATCTTTATGTTTTTCTAAGCTCATATATAATATATAATATATAATATATCTATACTGTCTTGTTATTATATATGTGTAATATTAGAAATATAAGACAAAAAATAATCATTGATATATTTTTGAAGAAAATTAAATTTACTAACTGATAAAAGGATTTATTAACTATTAATAAAATTTAATTTATTTGAAGACAATTATTTAATTTAATAAATATTTATTAATTGTTAAAAAATATTTATTAAATCTTATGATGTTAAAAAATCATTTATAAAGCTTATTGAATAAAAACAAATCTTTCTATCTATTTTTTAGAAAAATAAAATATGAAATAAATAAACTATTAATGTTAAGGAATAACAAAAATTGTTTTACAAATATTTACGATCGCCAATGAGGTTAAGCTAAGTATTTGCACTCTATAAACTACAAGTCAAGATGTTCTTTGTGCTGAAAGCCAAGTAAGTGCAGAAATAGTTCGGGGCCACCCCAACCCCTTGAGTCACACTAAAATCTTGAGTTAAGAGACGGGAAAGATGCGAGTACAAATACGAGAGCCGAGTTCTGCTAAAGAGAAATCAAATAACTCTCTTTACTTAGGTATTTTCATATTCATGTATCTTTACTTTATAATAACTCCAATCGCTTTTATTTTAATTTAAATATTTGTCGGTACATTTATTTCGGCTATTTCGAGCGCTTTAGTACTTTTAATTAAATTTTGAATAAATGATGGGAACTTTTTTTGTAGAAAATTTAATTTTCTAAAAAAAAGTTGCCTTATTTTTTTAGATTTTTAATATTTCACTCAGAATTTTGAGTTTATTTTTAGAAGAAAATTAAATTTTTAATTAAGTAGTAGAAAAAAATTTTTAATTACTTTAAATTTAAATTCGTTCTCAATGATGAGAGTTAAAAAAATTAATAGAAAATTTTATTTGTAAAAAATTTAATTTTCTAAAAAAAAAGTTGCCTTTTTTTAGATTTTTAATATTTCACTCAGAAATTTATAAAAATAATTTATTTCTAGCTCTTGTTTTGTAGAAAATTAAAAAATGAACGTTTAGTTGGACGTATTAATTCTAGAATTACTAAAAACCTCCTTGTTCCTAAGTACATACATAAATCATATCTGTAAATTTCATAATCAATAGAAAAAAAATTTAATACCTGAAGTAAGCTCAAGGTAAACATGCCATGGCTTGAAAATCGAGTGGACTTAAGACATATGACTCTTGAATATGAATGTGATAAACATAATATAACAAAGAAACAGATACTATGGATAAATACTGTGGGGGCCATATGACGTTGTCATAGAACCAACTACTCATGTTACAGGTTTTAACCACGAAAGAAAATTGACACTAAACCGTCTTGCATGTTATTATGATTATATAAGTTTTTTAAATCTCAATAAAAAAAAAGTTACATTCAGGGTTTAAACTTTCATGTTCTAAAATTTGAAAACTAAAAATGTAAATAGTAATTTACCGGAATGTAATAAATGTAGTTAAGAGTCACGTCCTATTATCATGTAAATTACATGAATTTAGTTACATAAAAACATTGAACATTTGTATGTTTAGATACGCTGGGAAAAAATTCTTAAAATTATTTGACAAGGGAAATAATTTATACAAATTTTTTTTCAATGAAAATTTTAAAAATTTAGCAGTACATTAAATAAGTGAACATTATGTGCATATATTTGGGTCATTTTATGCTTGTAAAAATTTATTCATTTAGTGAAAAAGAAAACTCCCCAGGTATATCCTTTAATTTTCAAGGCAATGAACTCTCCACTGAAATTTTCACACAATTGAGATTTTAAATATTGGAGTTAGACACTTGTTTTCTCGAAAATTTTTACATTTGTTACAATAGAATTTCATGGATATAATTATTTTAAAGAACTGACTGATAAATTTGAAATTCAAACAATTTTGCGCGTTTGAATTACAATTGAAAAAAAAAAAAAAGAATAATTTTACAAAATTTTGAAAGTTAAAGTTTAAATGTACTGAATAACATTAAATTATTTAGTCGGTGCAGAGGAAGTAGCTTTTCTGGAAATAAGAGTAATAAATTTTTGAAAATTTTTGTGAGAAACTACCGAAAATTCCGAGAATGTACAGTCATCAAAATTTTTATCGTTTTAAATGTAGGAATTTTCTTAATTTTTAATGGATGTTAAAGTTTTAAAATTTGTCGTACATTTTTTTTAACAGGTATGTACAAGTTTTAATAAAAAATTAGAATTATTGAGATGATAAAGAATTATTGAAATGTATTTGAAAAAGTCTTATTGTAAGTTTAATTAAATTTTTTCACTTTTTTAACTTCAATTAATTCAAACTATTTATGTAATTTTTCAAAGAATCTTTCTATAAATAGGTCAGAAAAATGATAAAGTCTATTTTTTTTTATTTAAAAATTAAAAAAACACAAATAAATTTGAAGAAAATTTTTAAAATTTAAAAAGCAAATATGCAAAAATTACGCTGATAAATTAAAAAATAAAAATTTATTAAATACAATTGTTGATATTAAATTTGGCAATGTTCCCGTTGATCTTATTTTCTGATTTTTTGTTAAAACTTATCATCGAAGTAAATAAATGTTTATTTGAACTAAATATTAATTTATTTAGTTTTCAAAAATTCATAAAAATTTTGATAATTAAAATTAGAAACAGGGAAAAAATATAAATAGCTCAGCATATTTAAAATAATCTCCCTAAATTTTCATACAAAGAATTTCATAACCCCTTTGAAATAATCTTAAACTCCCAAAGAATTCCAGATGTAATGACTCATCATGTGAACCCATAAAATCTCCATACAAGCCTCGAAATCAACGTCGATAAACACAAACCCAAAGAAAAGATAAATTTAACGATTCACGGTCGCTTGAAACGAATTATCAAAAAAAATAAACATGACCTATTCTGTAAAAAAAAACTATTTCTATCCCGGAAACCCCTAGAATGTCTAAAGATAAAATAAAAAAATGAAACAGACTGTTTGAACATCTTAAAAATGAAAAACCTAATAAAAATTGAAAATAAAGTAACGGTTTAAACTTTGTAATAAAATTATCTTTCTCTCTTTTCTAATTAGCAACGGGCGAAGAGACACAATATAACATATATAACACAACACTGGATACCGGAAGTTGACAGAAGAAATTTCATGCGCACGCACCCGAGGTCGCCGATTAAATTATATACATTATTCACTCTCTTCTTCTTTTTTCTCATTGAATTATTTCATTGTATTTCATACATCATATTATATCTTTCTTTACCAGTCTGATTACTATCAGTCGTCTCTCTCAGTCTTTAACTTTAATGCTTGTGTATGTGTGAACCCACCGGGTCAGGACGTGCTTGCGATAATTTGGTTAATTGGGATACACAACAGCTCAGAGATGCCGTGCAATTTTATGAGCATTACATTATATACGTATTACGTGGATTATTTATACAATAAAAAATTTAAAATTACTTCATTTAGAATCAATTACTCGCATTATTTTATAAAATTCTTATTCATATTTTTGACGTGTTAAAATCGGTATTTTTTAATTAAATTCAGTAAAAAGTCGTCATATTTTTATAATAAAAAAAAAATTAAGTTAAGAAGTTTTGGTCATAAATAATGGTTAAAAAAATGTAATTGACCTCAAGACAAGATCATAAGATGTTGCGTGGGTGTTCAAAAAGATCTAGTCCACTTAAATTTTTCTTGAAAGTTGTTTAGAGACAAAACTTGTCTGATTTAGTAATCAACTTAAGTTTTTTTTTATTTCAGATAATTGAACAATAATTAAAAATTATTACGAGAATTAAAGATTTTGGATTTAATTGTTTAATTTTATTTTATAATAAATTGTCAAAAATTTTTTTTTATTAAAAATTATTAAATTTATATAAAAATTCAGAAAAAAAATTTTTTTTTAATAAATATTAATCATAATAATCAATTATTACCACCTTAAAAAATTACTTGTATTTATTAGAAACCATTAATCGTGCCAGCCCACATAATTTTTCAAAAAATCTACTAAATAAAACTCAACACTAAATTTACACTATTATTAAATATATTATACCATCATATCATAATGTGTTTAAAATGACGAGTCCAATTGTACTAAAAATAATTAACTCAATAGAATAAGAAATAAAAAATGATAAAGAGTATAATTCAGATTGCTCGGCTCTTTGGATCTAATCTATCCAACAATAGACCCTCAATGAGCTGTAAACACCCTCGTACTCGATAAGTCGTCACTCTCTCATCCTCATCACTCTACTCGCGGTCTATGCGGGCTTCAAGAGATTGGATCAGTCTTAACTTCTTCTCTAAGAATATTTTATAACTTTATTTCTCAATTTAATAATACTCCATTATTATTTTGCTAATATAAAGTGTTATAATTTTTTTATTATTATTATTGTTATCATTAATGCTCCTACACAGAAAAAAATGTTCTTAAAATCAACTATATAATTTTTAAGAACAATATTCTTGACTAGAGTAGAAAAATTTTTGATTTAAGAAAATTTTACTTCATTCAAGAATTTTTCTCTTGAATCAAGTTAATTTTTTTTTCTGTGTATACATTTATATAACTACCTAGTTTTAGTAGGCCGTAATTGAATTTTCTCACTGCTATTATCAAACTTTTATGACAGTAATATAATCCTTGAGTATCTTTCAATTTGTTTTTCCGAGTAAACAGTTACTATTTTAATAAATATAAACATAAGTATAAATATAGTGTGCAGTATTCTCATGTTTAAATTCTCTAGGGTTTAACGGAGGCGTATTATATATATATATATATAAATGTAACGCTACATCCTCGACTGCAATGTTGATAAAATCATCCTATCCACTCTGAACTAAAGTTCAAACCATATCATCAATTTCTTTTATCTATTTCTCCTTTCAACTAGTTAATTTTTATTTTTACTCCTAAATTTTCAAAGTATGTCGGTCTTATTTGTTCATTGAAATAAAAAAAAAAAACTATTTAGCTGACAACTTTAACGTCAATGTAAATATCTTAGCGCAACGGTGTACTATAATAGCTGTTGTGATAGATATAACCAAAGAGGAAATGTCGCAATAATCGACTCGATCGGTTAGGTGCTTCGAGGCTATTCGCACTAACACGACATACATATAATGCATACATCAGATCGGTTCTGTAAGATATGATATTACATATATACACAATATACATAACACACAAGCTTAACCAAACGTAAATACTAGCAGCTACTTGTCAGCCAGAACTAATACATGCCTTTGGTACTATCTGTGGAAATTAGTCACGCTTACACTGAATATTCTATTCAATTTTTTTATTCCTTCCTTTTCTCATGCCTCTTTTTTATGTTTGTATATATATTAGTTTTTTTAATCAACAGGATTTAGTTTTATTTCTTGCTTATTTTTAGTGCAGACTGAATGCCAGTTTAGTAGATTTGATGATTCATTCGAGAATTAAAGTCTACTTGCTTAGAAATTATTTAATAATATAATATATAAAAAAAAAGTTTAAGCAAAAAGTTTTAGTTTTTTTTTTTTTTTAAATTTTTTTTCTAATACAGAATTATTCTTAATTTATTTTAAAAATTAATTTTTATATTTTAAATAAATTTATTAACAGTAAAAAATTATTTGCAATTAATTTTTAATTTAAATTTTATTAATATTTTTATTTTAAATTTTATTTTTTTTATTTTTTAAGTTATTTTTTCATTTTTTAATAATATAATAAAATTAATTAATTAATAAATTATATAATAATAATTAATATTTTTTAATTTATTTATTTTAATTTCATTTAAAATTTTTAAATAATTGCTCTATTGAGTTTTATAAAAATTTCGCTTAAATAAATTATTTTTATAAATTCCACCAATTATTTGATATTTTATCCGTAAATTATTTATCTAATCACCCACAGATTTATATTTATATTAAAAGTCATTGATTAAATTATCTTACCCGCTCTAGATTTAAATGAATCATTTTATTATTTATGATATTTAATTATTCAATTGTTTTAGCAAGTTAAAAAATAACTTACATTTTTTATTAGCAAGTTCAATACCTCCGGACTAAATAACAAGTAGCGATAAATAATTTATTGAAAAAGCAACATTGATTATTATTACTGAAACTAACAATTTTCCCGTTAGTTCAGCCCCATTTGATAAAAAGCAAAATACGATAGACTAGTAATAAAGAAAA